TGGGACAGCTTTACTTTTACTTTTACTTATATGATTGAATAATGTGTAATTCTCATGTCTTGTAAGATATTTCTGACTTGTATATATTATGTTGATGCCTGATTGACTTTCGAGTAGGTGTTCAGAAAACTGTAGGTGATACATTTCCTGTGGGAGCCATAACAAAATCACTCCAGTCCTTGCAAATACCTGCAAGAAAGGATCGGAAAAAGTGTGGAACTAGGGATCGATCAATAACTGTCGAAACTAATCATTTTGCACTGGACCTAACAAGACTGTTTACTCCAAGTTTCATGAAAATCGGTCACTAACTTAAAAGTTATTAGATAATGATAGACGTGTAGATATGATGTGAAACTTGAGGTTCTCACTATGGTGGAGATCTTGTTGATCTTGTGGGTTGTAATGCTATGTGTACCTGTTGGTTGATACCAGTGGTTCTCACCTACAAGTCCACACAGCATTATAATCTAGAAGACCAATGTTGACATACAAATGATGATACCATAAGCCTATCTTTCATCATAAAGTAAGGAAAGTTTTAGAAGGGAGGCCAAAGCCCACCCTTGGCTGAGCACCGAGGAAGAAGAAGAAACTAAAAAGAAGAGAAGGGAAAGGAAGACAACTGAAAATGCGTAGTGCTTACTGACGGCATAGTATACTTGCGATATGAGTTTCTGATATGTGTTTGGATTATAAATACATGTGCTATATGTTTTAGTTGGAACTAAATGCATTAAATTAAAACTTAACAGCAACTGAAAGTGTTACATTCACTTTTGATTTGGTTATAAGAATGTTTTATTGTGGTTGTTTGTACTTAATGTAACTGGAATGTTTTTGTTTCACAGTGGTACACAAAGGTTTTTCTTCACCAAAAAATGTTGTTGATATTCTTATGGAGATATGCAACCTCAGTAGTGAAGACCTTCATCGAGAATTGTCAAAGGAGCGGAAGAGAGATTTTATGAACTATATTCTTGGTAAGAATAATAATAAATGTCAGTATATGAATTTGATGGCAGCATGCATAAGTATAAGTGATGTGAGACAAACTTATTTTCAACAAATTTCTGTTCTAGGCCTTAACGTTGATTATATGCTTCCAAATGTGCCAACAAGCAAGAGAACATGCAAAGTGAACAGAGTTGTTGAAAATGCAGTTAAACAGATGTGAGTATGATACTTAAGTAAACATATTGCTTAGTGCAGGGTCTTTCTTGAAAAATTGTTTGTCACTCAGTCAGCCAAGGTATTCCCTCTTTATATGGAGCCCAAATGTTTGTCACTGTATTGTCAGAGTCTCACTGTTGGGCATTGTCTTGTGTAATTTGAATTTAGAATGTACCTAAACACCATTTCTTTAAGATCAGTTTTTTCCTCTTGTCTGCATCCTGGTCTCTTAAGTGATTAACCAATTTAATGGTAGTTACAACACCTGTTTTACTGTTTGGAGATTCTGGGTTCAAATCTTACTTTCCTATTTGAGATTTTTTCAGTTCTTCCAGGCAAATGGTGTTAAAATACCTTCATACAAAATACAACATCATAGGGACCCATTTGATACCTAACATTGTGTTGCTGTTTCCCATTTGGCCTTTGAAGCATGGCCATCTGACAGTCTACTCAAAATACATACATAGACAAGTAAACACTAATACTTTATACATTTCAAGTGAGTCAGAAGCAGTCTTAGTTTGGGGAAACATTTCATACCAGTACAGTGTAGAAGGGGCTGTTCATTTCTTGGATTAGTAAACATTGAAACTTGTGCTTGGAGAGTGAGGTGGAAATACTACAGATTATTTTAAAAGATACAGAGAAAAGTATCCTAATTGTAGAGAGCCGGATCGTACTATGGTACAAAAACGAAATCTGAACCTTTAATAGACTCTCCCAAACCTCCCTCATGCCACTTGAGTCAAGGTCGCCCTTGTTTCTAGGCCGTTGGCTATGACAGTTGTGCAAAATCTGTGCAGGTGTGAGCAGAATGTGTGTTCATTCTCGAACATTACTTTGCATAAAAATCATTTGATGTTGTTTGTGAAGCATTTAGCAGTGCAATAAAGTTCTGATTAAGACATCCAATACAGTGACTAGTAACAACATTTTGGGACAACAGAAAACATGTATTTTTGCCCTCGGTGGTCTAGTGGTAGCGTGCTGGCCACTGGACCGAAGGCTTGTGGGTTCAAAGCTGGCCAAGGTTGATGGTTTTTAAGGGTGATAAAAATACATAGTACGACTTCCTCTGGAGGGGAAGTAAATCCGGTGGTACCATGTCACAGATTTACAGCATGTAAAAGAACCTTATGATCATGAATGAGATGTTTTGTAAGCAACTGTTTCTCACCCATGTCTCTGGTAGAGGCTTTGTTATGGGCTGATCACTCATCCAAGAAGTCCTTCCCAAATGTCTAAAAAATAGATCAGAAACCTCCAAAAGGAGGCCTCTATGCTCCATGTAGGAGTGAAAAGGGCATAAGAAAAAGAAGAAGGAAACATGTCTGGCATTGGACAGTGTTGACAGGTAAGATGTTTCATGTTGTTGAAGAAACGTCAGAAACACGTTGTCTTGTTATTCACACGTGCATGCACATGCGCATGAGTTGTAGATAGGTTTGCATTCTGAATGGAAGAAACTGCGTGTAGATAAATTTGGATGTGAGAGGTGGTTCGTGCAGAATTTTGTATAAACATATTGTGTATGTAGGATTTGAGGTTTTCACAGCAGTGAGTATGAAGATTTCTGTCTTCTGGGTTGTTGCGCTGTGTAGTCTGGTTGATGTTGACCTCTGAAACGTTGGTCAACATCAACCAGACTACACAGCTCAACAACCCAGAAGACAGAAATCTTCAACATATCGTGTTCTTTTCTTTTGTGAAGGTTTGAGTTGGATAGTGGCAGATCAATATCAGTTGCAGAATACATTGCCCAAGAGAAGAAGATACGGCTTTCATATCCTCATCTCCTATGTCTTCATGTTGGCTCACTGAATAGGTGCAGTCCAATTTATGCTCCAGCGGAAGTAAGTAAAGCATAGTTATTTTCGTATCATAGTGTTAATATGCACTGTTGCTAGTCACCATTAGCATCCAAAAGTATTTGGCTGGTAAGTAACTTTTTGCCATTTTTATTTAATTTTAGCCTTCTTTCCTTGCTTTATATGAACCAGCTTGATCAGTCATTATAGTGATTATGCTGTGGGGTGGATGATTGAGGTTGAGTTTGGCTGGCTGATTAATTATTTTTCATGATATTCCTCAGTCTTTTAAGGTGAATGCCAGAGAAGTGTTATGAAGCAGGGAAGACTGCTTTTTTGTTAATCATTATGTAATCATTCTTTATGGTTACTTTGTCCTTTCATTTTATTTAGTCTCCACCTAACTTCCTCATGAGGAAGTTAGGAGGAGACTAAATTCCAGAAATGCTTGCTACTTCTCAGTTCAAAATATTCTGTCTTCCCATCTGATTTCTAATGCTACGTTTACACGGCGAGAGTTGAGAGCGGCAGTTGGTCTCAAGTCCGGTATATGGAGAGAGGTATCGGAGGGTGTTCAGACGTTGAGAGAATGTTGCTACTGTCAGCCTGAGAGGTTCTCTCAATTGAGTGAAATATATCTCTAAATGTCAAGCTTCTCTCATGACAATTTACACAGTGAGGCACTGAGAGTGGCTATAATGAGACATAACGGAACTCTACATGGAGTTGACAATGAACTGGAGCCGCCATAGGTCAGTGTGTTTAGAATGGCAGATGAACAACAACGTATTGCGGCAGCTGCGGTAATTTTAATTCTCTTGAAGAGGAGAAGACAGAGAACAATTTGGGTAAAGCCCTGCCTTGTCAGGGAGTTGTGGGTGGAAGATTTCATCCAGTTACGAAATTTACTTAGAATGTCGTCAACAGATAGAAGAAATATTAACATATTTCCCTCAAGAAATTTCATATTTTCGATGTACGGCCATTGCGATCTGAATGTGTCTACGGTACCTTAACCCGACTTTCTGGTCCGTACTTTACGCAACTCCCTGGTGTACTGACACCTACAGCAACGCATGCAAACTCCATGATTACACTGCACATTCCATTATTACATTAATAAAAGTGAAAGTACATGAATATTGGCTTCCGCAGGAATTTGTCACACTTACCGGAGGTTGTACAGTTTCCTTTGTACCTCATTTACTGTCGTTTGAAACCTGGCTGCCATTCCCTGATGCACTTTATTTTTTAAACCCTTGAACCTGTATGATTTTTCAAGAACACTCCACACTTTGGGGGGGGGGGGGGGTTATGCAGTTTCCTTTGCACTTAGTTTACTGTTGTTTGAAACCTGGCTGCCATCCCTGATACACCTTATTTATTAAAACCTTGTCTCTCTATGATTTTTCAAAAACATTCCACAGACATGTTGCCGATTTGTACTCCTCAGTCAAATGTTTTGTTTGTTCGGCAGTCCACAACTTCCTTCTCCTTGCGTTAGCAATTTCTGCTCTCATGAGAGTCAATAAAATTCAGCTGTGTTGAACTTCGTAGAGCACTACTATTCAGAGTTTAGTGTGGTCACAGGCTCAATTGCTGTATGGTTTACACCAGTGGTATTCAACATTTTTTCTTCGCGTACTCCCAGATATAATTTCTCTTCAACTTTGTACCCCCAAAGTTGTTGGTGTATAATTCAAGTTATATATAGTATATAATCTACATCTTAAATAAATTACATCAAAAATAATGTGAATAATAAATTTTAAATGAGAGAAAGGAGAATCAAGCTATTAAATAACAAATATATTATTGCCTATTATATAAAAATTAATAAAGGACAAAGGTATTTTAGCAAAGCAAAATTATATGTTTTATCGATTATTAATTAATGTGGTTCAGACCTGTTAATGTGATGATTGAGCTTGTTTCTGGCACACCAGCACCTCTATTCGGGGACGAATATTCGAGAGTGCGAGGATCAGAGATGGTTCTGGGTTCAAGCGGTTCCTGCGTTTCGTTTTGATTGATGTCAGTGCAGAGGAGCCTTGCTCACACAACTACGTTGATGGGAATGGCAGGAGGTGTGAAATGGCAGCGCCACTAAGCTCCTTGAACTCTTTGCGAGCAGCAATCCAAAAGTTGCAGATTGACATATTTTCGAATTTTATTTTCAGTGAACCTTCAACGGACATTTCCAGCAGGTTTTCTTTTAATTTTAAGGGAAGATTAGAGGAATTGATGGTGGTGGTATAAAAAGGGTTTGTAATCCAATCTGTGGTATTGTCTTCTCTCTCAATTTCTGGAAAGTATTTCAAACATGACCGCTTTTTTGGCCTGACATTGAAGCAGCCCCATCAGTGGATACACTGACACATGATTCCCACTGCAAATCTAATTCCAGTCTTATGAAACTGTCAAGGATTTTAGAAATATCTTCTCCCTTTGTATGGTCTGGTAATTGTTTGCATCCGAGAATTTCATCAGCAATAACCCCTTTCTTAACATCAAAATACTGAATGTATACAAGCAGCTTGGCTTCATTAGAAACATCCATCGATTCATCAATTTCAATTGCAAATATTTTGTCAATTTTAATGTTCTCTGTAATTTGCTCAACAACATCTTGTGCCATGTCATGAATTCTGCGACCTACAGTTGTATCAGAACTCAGAATCGTTTTATTGCATTTGCAGTTTTTTTTTTTTTTTTTTTTAGCATTTTATCTGCTATAATTAAAGCACCAGGCAGAATGAGAGACTCTACTGCGGTATATGATGATTTATGTTTTGCAGCAAGCATTGCTAATTCATACGATGTCTCTAATGCCACCTTTGTTGATTGTGTAAAATTATGTATAACATTTGAAGTTTTACGTACATTTTCTGCTTTGTGTTTGAAAAATTCAGCTGGCTTGTCCTTAAACTCACCCTGATTGGTCACTAAGTGCCGGTGAAGTAGAGATGGTTTCATAGAGTTGTTCGATATAATTTGGTTGCAGATTTCACAGGTTTGAAACAAACCCATATTTAATGTAGGATTCATTGTAATACCTGTATTTCACTTTGTCCGCCTTCACATTTTTTGGGATTTTAGGCTTACTTGTAGATGGTTCAACACTACTCATACTAACATCACAGGTTGAAACAGAAACTGTCGCACTTTTCAGTTTTTGTGACTAAACACTATCGTCATTTTCACGCTTCCTTTTTATAATATGTTTATCCATGTTGCATTACGAAAGATGAAAATAATGATTAATTCCGTGGTTTCAAGAAGGAACTGAGTGGATGATGACTACTATGCACTTATAATTGATCCGCGTTTTAACAAGAATTAAACAAACCGAACCTGCATTTCACAACAATGATCCCACACAACAGAAAGACGTTAGGATGCCAAGTAAAATTAAATAAACTTAGTAAATTGTTAAACAATAATCATTATTCACAAAGCCGGTAACGTACTACACGTATGTACGTGGTGGGATCGGAAAGTTTCTAGACTGCGCCTATAAAAACCCGTACACTTATCTCAGGTATTAAATTCATCCATCACCCTCGAAGTAGTTCCCCTGGGAGTGAACACAACGAT